GTGCTTTTCTTCATCTAATGGAGCTTCTAGGACTTGAGTTAAATCTTTCCAAGTAAATTTACTAAATAATGTTGTTACTTATTCGTGTCATTGCAGAAACTACTCTTCTAGAGCAACACACTTACTTTCCTGTAAAAATTAGCCCTCTTTTTCGATGTTACCCATCTCATCCTCAACTAAATATCTGCAAGTATCCTTACTGGATCATAGAATTAAAATAATTTCTTGTTAATAAGATAAGTACGAGTTTAAAACCTTTTCGGATTAAAAATTTAATGAAGTACTTTGCTCATTCTGCAAAGCTCTGGTGCTAAAAGCCTTTGCAGTATAGACTCTCGTTCACCTATATGTGACTTTGTTTTCTCTTCCTTTTTGCCTTTTTTCTGCTTCGCTCACTGTGATCTCAAATGTCCCATACAACAAGCCTCTTCAGAATGTTTGGCTTCTCGGCTCCTGCAGCATCCACAGCTGCGTCTACCACAACATCAACAGGGCTTGCTTCGGGTTCTCGTAAGTATAACATTTCTTCCGATCTTATTGTAACAAACCTAGTACTTTACTAGTCATCATAGAACAAGCAATTATTCAGTTTTCTCAACTGGAGCGACCACATCGGCTTCATCAACAACTTCCCAGCCCTCTTTAACATTTGGTGGTTAGTTTGCTTTATTACAATGAAGCACCTATGTAAATATTTGATTTTTATACTAATTGGATTTCAGCGACACCACTTACGACTGCAGCAGCTCCCCTCACTACTGCCAGTGGTTTAGGGTACAAATATTTTGCTTACTGTTGAGTTTGCTTTTCTATCAAACTTTCTCTCATTTTAGAACAACAACAACAGAAAGCTCCAGCACAGATGCAACTAAATTGTCACTCAAAGGACTTTTGGAGAAGGAGGGATCCGTAGGGTCAGCGTGTTCGCAACTTCTTGCAGCTTTGACTGCTGATACAGAAATCAGTTTTGCTGATCTGTCTGCGGTAAGTTTGTCGGTTGAAACAATCAATTTAACAGCTTCGGCTTTAATTCTTTGTCGTGCTTCTTTTGATAATATTTTGATTCTGAAAAGTGAAGATCATTAACTAGCTTGATTGGAAGGCGCC